AAGTTCTCATCATATGGAACAACATGTCGTATAAGATGTCATATGAAGGAGCATACAACATCGTGCATGAGCTGAAGTGGACAGTTAGATTCTATTGTGATTTAACTGATGTAGAATATTTTGGGAATGTTATGCAATCCTATGTGGCTCTGAATTAAAGATCAAGAAGAATCAAGTCAGAATTTTAAAGATTATGCAGTTTCAAAATATGGAGATATATCAGGAAACTAATTATTGAAGACCTTGTTTATAGAAAAAATTACTACTAATTTGTAACAGTGAATGTGGTGTATTTTGAAGGCTCAAATCCAGTTGGGATATAGGTTATAAATAGTAGTATTTGTAACCTAGGATAGGTACCAGTTTAGAATTGAAAATATGTAGTCATTAGGGCTGAGTCTGTAACCACTCGGGTTGTGAGATGGTCATTGTGTTCTCTCTCATAAACCTGTAGGTAATGAGTTCAATATTGTTCTTGGAGTAAGCTTTTAAGCAACTCCAATTTGTGTTCTTAGTTAGGAGTAAAGTTGGAGTTTAGCTTTAGGTCTTAGCTAGATATTGTCATGGAAATGTGTCTTCCTGTTTGTTCAAAATTGGTTTGATCCAATCATTACCTGTGATTGAAGAGGGATTGAGGAGGGCCTCATATCTATGTGAGTCTTATATAGAAGTCTACTAAGGGTAGTGATTAATCCGTAAACTAGAGGTTTGCTAAGGGTCTATGAATTAATACTATTTTAGTAGACTTATCTCTGGCTTGGTATGCCACTAGAGTAGGAGAGTTGCTCCAAACTAGGTTAACAATTCTGGTGTGTTGTTTATGCTTTTCAGTAATGTTTTGTTTGTTTATATCTTGCCTGTTTGTTTAACTCGGATCAGATGTCCCAACATGTCATAGGTCATCTGAGTTCTGTCATACCATAATTTCAATTGATATCAGAGCAGGCATCATGTTCTATTTTGGGGTGAGATCCTGGGATTATACTTTTTGGTCATGGGAAAGGAAGAAGGTTATTACTGAAAATCCATTTGAACTTGGAATGTTCATATTGTGTTTTAACGGTCCCTAGAAGTGGAGAATGGATTGTTCATGATAGGGTGTGTATTGGACCTGTTTGCGTTGATTCCATGCATGTAGCATTGGTGGCAAGCTACTGTTTTGAGGGTTTGATTTATTTTCAAACACAGGTTAACCTCTTACACCTGGAGTATGGTGTGTTTGTGTAAAGGTTTATGTTGTGCCTAATGGTTGTTAAGGAGTTTTCTAGTTTGTGCTCCGCTGCATATATATCTGATGGGAAACTCCTGGTGGTTTTGTGTGTTGAGTCTGCAACACTTTATTCTCCTCTAAAGGTGTATCCCATGGTGTGGTGATACTTCAGGAGAGGTTCGACTAGCTTGTTAGAGTTTCCAAAGATACTTGATTATTGTCCCAAGTCCACTCATAAAGGCACTCTTATATGATTTTGTTGAAGAAAGATCTGGTAGAGGCAAACTATTTTTGCTTCCAACCCTAAAAGGTCAATCTTCAAACTTTGATAGAGGATCTCTTGGTGTGTTCCTTGTGAAGGGAATTGATGGCCTACCAGATGTTGGAACATCAAACCAGCAGATTATACATAATCTTTTTGGATAAAGGTATGGAATACCAGATGCTTGGGTGTTGAACGAATGTGTTTTGATTACTTATATTTGGAACCTACTCTTGATCTGGAAGAGGAGGCATCTGTGTTTTGTGTCTAAGAAGTTTCTTTGTTAGAAATAAGTCTTAGATAAGTATTTTGGTTAGGACATGATAAACATATTGGGCACTTATTAGATAAGTTTATTGATCGCGACTTTAAGAGTCTGTCGGAATTACTGACTGCAAGTGCGCAGTCTAATCGTAGAGTTTTAAAAGATATCGAACCCACAGGGAGTGATAATGAAACTAATGCTATCTAATGTTACTAAGTAAATCTAAGTCTGATAATTAATCTTGGGTTTCGGTGAGAAACGGGGAATAAATTCAGGTTTAATTAAAATATTTAATAACGGGATACCAGTATGCAATTCATCAAACTTTTGGGATTCAAAAAATCGTTGGCGTAATCTTTAAGTGTTCAAATACTCTTATGTAGAAAATATAAATTTAAAATCTTGTGTCTTACACTCTCGTGTTTATTGACTCTGACTAAACTCCTAAATCAAAATTCTTTTCTCTTGCTGTCTCATTTGAATTTAGAAATGATTTTTGGAAATCAATAGATTCTAATTAACCCTAAAGTGCTCTTGTTGTGTTTAGAATTAATTTCTAGTTTCTTCTATCCGATTAAAAATCGGAAACTCCCATTTTATTGATTATAAACTTTTTGTGTCTTTTACTCTCGTAACAAAACTGTTTCAATTAAAATTAGGAACTAAATCAGAAAAGTAGTTTATGAAATATTTTCGCCAACAGATTTATAAACCTCGTCCGTGAGACTACTTTCACATACCGGTATCAAGGGAATATTCCAGTCATGGTTTTAAACGTAAACATACAGTAACAACAATTGAATGAAAAATACTGAACGATAAACTCCAACTTCAACTAATATCCTCCACAGATGCCGGCAGGATTGGCTACTCTGAATTACAATTTAGACAACAGGAAATAAACCTAAGACTATGGTTGTAATAGTCCCCTAATATGGAAGGCTATCACTTTTAGAAGTGAGTTTTTCTGCTTAAAATCAAATGAAAATGGTACTCTGAACTCAAGAAAATTTGACCCCCTACTTGTGAATAGCTGCAACTTATATAGACTCCCTGCTAGATTCTCGTTAGTTCCATGCAGAAGAATCCGGGACTAGTGGTAACATGGAGAATATGTCGTGAGATGTTGCTTGTGGAGAAGATTTAGGAGACTGGGCTTCGTGAGTAATGACATGGAGAAGAACCACATAATAGAGCACGTGGCTGGATTTTAAGAGTTGTGGTGATGGCCATGCATTGTGTGGCGAGGGCCATGCTTCTTGGTTGTATGGAAAGGTCCACACCACCTGTGGCGAGGGCCGCAGGCTTGAAATGTTTTCCCACACTTTTCTTTCATATATTCTTCAATTCTTCTTATGTCTTGTCCATTTCTCACTTTTTTAATCGTGGTCAGCATGTGTTTGTAATACCTGAAATGAAATAAGAAAGTACCGACATAAACTGACATAAATAAATGAAAACGGTAAAAGAATTCATGTGAGTCAAGTCGAATATACAATGTAATTTTGCATTATCAAACTCCCCTACACTTATATCTTTGCTTGTCCTCAAGCAAATAACACTAGCATAATAATTCAATTATAACCGGGCTCGACACAAATAGACGACAAAGATGAAATCATATGTGGTTGCGAGGAATATTCTTAGGTAGATAGATACTCAATGTCAACACTAAAGATACCGTAATGACACGAAACTACAAAACACGATCAGAAACTCCCACTTTATGCAAAACCAATACGAATCATTCTATTATAGCTCAACCTATCTCTTTTGTTTTATTTCACCTACTTTCATTCGAGCGCAATCACATTAAGCCCTTTATACATGCACGCACATAGTAGGGGAGTCGGTTAATGATTCTAATGCTTAAGCATGGGGTTCTGGTACATAATTTTGGTAACCCCTATTATTTACCCAATTGAAAGTTGCAGGGGATCGGATGGTAGTCCGCCCTACCAAACTCAGCACCATATACCTCTGAACCAAACAAGATAAATGCTTTAGCTAAGGAGAGTGTATCACCCAAAGCAAACAAGCGGGAGACAGATGAAATAAAAAAATGTGACATCTAAAGCAACTGAACACCTAACCTAGATATAAAAGATCGAGGTAGGCGACACAAGACAACCATAAATCCACATTTCCCAGTCCGGTGACTACAGCCATACATCCATCATCCCCACCTCCTTCTTCTCCATCGCTTATACCTTCCCCTCGCTTTGGTCGCGGCTCCGATCAAACGTCAACATTCGGCAACCGCAAAAGACCGTATCGTCTCTCTTAATTAATATCCATCTTGATCCACAAACAAGCTTCCTCGACTTCTCCTTTGATCGGTTTGCAGCTGGTTCTAATCATGATTTGTTAGGGATTTTGTTCATCTTCTTCTTCTCTACGATCTCGCATCAAGAACACGATAAAAACACTAGAGGAATCATATCTTTAATGATGAAGATGAACGAAGAAGAGCCGCAAACGCATGTACATTCTCGAGATCTGTTTTCTTATACTTCTTCTTTTAACCGCAAATTGCTATACGATTTTAAACTAGTTATTGCATTTTGCGTTTGTGGTAATCCGTTGTTGATAACAGGTGGAGATTGGCGATGATGATGATGATTCAGGAAGATTGAAGAAGTTGTAGTATTGATGTTGCGCTGCGAAGTCGCGAGGACGATGATGATTGAGGCGCAACAAGAGGTTGTTAAAGAGTGAAGTTACAATGAAGAATGATTATGGTGATGGAGGTTCTGCATAGGAAAGTGATAGAGATTTTGAGATAAAGATCTAGTGAGAGATAGCAGTTGTGCATTGAAGATGAATATTGTAGCAGTGGTGAAGGTTCTTGAAGGTTGAAGCAGAGAAAGCAGAGTGAATTTATGGATTTTTCAGTTTGTGGTAATTCTCCAAGAATGTGAGAATGAAGATGAAGATGAGAGGAGTGATTCGTCTGCAGAATCCATCCTGAAGGTGAGAGGTTAGTCTTCTCTGTTTTATAATTCTGTTATTGGTGTTAGGAAAAGTTTGTTACATACTTTAATTCCCTGCCCTAGGATATGAGAAATCAGTTGCAAAAATGAATGATGAGATTGGAGATAGCTAGAGTTGTTGTGAAATCAATTAGGAGTTAAATTGGGCTCTTCTGCTATTGTAAGCTAAAATCCCAAAGATGAATGAACATTGAGTTAGCAAAAACTTTGGTAAAAGGGACAGAACTGTTAGAAACATATGTTGGTTGTTAGTAATTGTTTTGTTTATCAATGTGCACTTTTCAACTGGTTTTCATTATTGAACTGATTTATGTATGCGCATGGGCCATGGTTGACGGACTGGTTTTGATGACTGCATGGTTCTTGGTTAATCGATGGGATGATTTTCCTTATGCTTTTGATAACATGATGCAGGGTAGTTTGTGTCCTAAAATTAGAACTGTTTATCGAGTTTGTGCAGATTTACAAAGTGTTGGCAAGGATTTTGGAACTATTTTGATTGTGAACTGGTTTTTTCCATTTTCTGCGGAACATATTTTCTATTTTGAAACAAGTACGTGGTTGCAATTGATGTTTTGTTCGAACGTGTTTTGTACTAATATAACATTTTTTTAATGTGATGCGGGTCTGATATGAACATGTTTTGATCCCGAAGCAACGAAAGTTCAAGTCATGGTCAACTTGGCTTCTATTGAATGTCGGCAAAGAGTTTGAAGAAGAAGCAATTTTGGGCATGATATGGAGATCAGAGAAGCAACATATATATATATATATATATATATATATATATATATATATATATATATATATATATATGGCCACGAAAATTGGTGAAGGTTTAGCATAGGTCTCGTAACTTTGAAACTTAGGGGCAAAGGGGAGACATAAGAATAAGACTTAGTAATAATTTTTTTTTGTATTTCAGTATGATGTAATATGTTGGAGATTTGGATGAGGACTATATTTGAACACTTGAATGATGAACATTGTTAAATAAAAATAATGAAGTTACTGTGAACTTATGAACGAATTTGAGAGTGATTCGAATCCCCTTGAACAATGATGAAAAATATGATCTTGAATGATGGAAAAAAGGAAGAATGGCAATCGAATTTTAAATTTTGAACTGTATGGAATGATAAAGAACGATATGGTTGGATACTTTCGAATGGAACACGAAATGAATAGGACATATGCCTTATCATGACATAACCCTTTCTCGAATCCAAAATGAACTTTATCCTTGAATTAGCTCTTTGGCAGATCATGCCTTAAAACCATGGATGTCACTTAGAACACATAAGGCAATTTGAATGAATACCAATGAACAAATCGTTAAACCAATTTTTTACTCTCAACTAAACCAAAGTTATAAAATGACCAAAAATAGCTTTAAAAGGAAATCAAAAGCCTAACTCTTTTATGTGACTTGTTCTCGCAATAGAGTTTTGAGGAAACCTTGAAGAAAAAACAGGGCTTGAAGCAATAGACAAATACTATTTCATGAATCCTTAGTCACATAAATGAAAATCCTAGCACTCAACTTTGAGATACCTTGATGAGGAAAGAATTTGGGATATGTAAAGAAAGATTTTCACGATATCCTTTAAGGGAAACCCTAATAACTTTGGAGCACGTCGTATGATGACCTTGCTTCAAATTCGGATCTTATTTCCTTGTAGCTTAAAGAGAAGGAGATCCATGATAAACATACCTCACATCCATGATTCATCTATTTGACACTTGAAGAATAACCAAAAAATCAGGATAATCAACCTTTATTGGATATGAACGCTTTAATTACTGTGAAAACCCTAGTTCGTACAAACACTGAACTTTTAACTCCATGTTCTTTATTAAAATGCAAAATGTATGCTATGTTAATGACATAATGGAATATATGCGAATGAATGCAAAGCCTAAGCCAGATAAAAGAAATTAGGAGGGAAAATTTTGGGGTACAACAGCTGCCCCTATACAAGCTTCTTCAGCCTAAAGAGAGATTAGCAACGACAGCCTTTCAAGCGATAAGGTGGAAGGATATTGAATACAAAAATGAACTCAAAAATTTGCACTCTGAATTGAGATGATGTATATCAACACAAGGTAAAATTTTGATGGCCTCTTGGCACTGGACCAAAGAATAAGTTTGTAGATGGGAAAAAAGGATTAAAGACCGTGGAACTTAATCAACAAATGCTAGTAATGACTAGACTTCACAAAATGCCAGAATGTTGCATTCTGAGAAAGAGATAAAGGCTGAAGGGTGCTAGTAACAACTAGACTTTACAGAATTCCAGAACGCTGCATTCTGAGAAAAGGTAAGCGAGTAACAACTCGACTCCATAGAATGTAAAAATTAGGCACTCTGAGGAAGAAAAATAATGGCCAAAAGGTGCTAGTAACGACTACACTTAATAGAACACCAGAACGCTGCATTCTAAGAAAGAAGATAAAGACCGAAAGATGCTAGTAACAACTAGACTTTACAGAATGCAAGAATTCTGCATTCCGTAAAAGGTAAGCACCTAAAGATGTTAGTAAAGACTAGACTTTACAGAATGCTGCATTCTGAGAAAGATGGTAAAGATTGAAAGATGCTAGTAACAACTAGACTTCACAGAATATAGGAATGCCGCATTTTGAGAAAGAATAATGACCTTACAAGGGAAGACTAGTAATAACCAGACTTCACAAAATACCAGTAACAACTAGTCTCGATCGAACTGGAACAATTCCTTTCTAAACCAAAACCCATTGGCACATTAATCACAACGTTGGGGGACTGAGTGAAGGTACGAGTAACGAATTGACCTTAGGAATACTTCAAATAATGTGTCACCCTAGATAATAAACAAAAACCAAGAGTAACGACTCCTGCTTTGAAAGGAAATAGTAACGACTAGACCTTAATGAGTATTCCTCAGGATAGCAATAACAATTGGATCCTCAAAACAAGGAAAATACTTGATAATCTTGAACCCGAAAGAAGTAGTAACGACTGACCCTAACCAAGGAATTACAAAGATGAAACAAGACAAATATTAATCTGACTCAGTAGAACCTAGTAATGACTAGACTCAACCAATACAAAATGAATGCCAGAACACTGCACAAAAATCAGGTGACAAGTCGCGAACTTGACCTTCGTAGGAATGTTATCTACCAACCTACAACATTGCGCTAGGGAGAAGCTAACAGTAACTAGGAAAACGAGTAACAACTAGACTCCTCAGAATACCAGAATGTTGTATCCTGAAAAAGATGCGCAAGTAAGAACTCAAAAAGGGATAAAGATATGCATGTCTGGTCATAGTTAGACACACATAGGAAAGAGACAAATCGAAATAGACTCTCAAAGAATATAATGGAGATATATGTCAGGCTAGAGTTAGACATATACAAGAAAGAGACTGACCGAAGAAGGCTCTATTGAAGAAACACCAATCGAAGGCAAACTTACTAGGGATACCAATAGACATTGATTCTAAATAGAACATCAATCGAAGCCGAACTTACAAAGAAAAGAGACAAACCGAAGGGGACTCCTAACAAATGATACCAACCGAAGATGGATTTAATGGGGGGGGGGGGGGGGGGGGATTTCGATCAAGGGAGAACTCATATGGGATAAAGATATGCATGTCTGGTCAAAGTTAGACACACAAAAGCGAAATTGGTCATCAAGAAACAAATTTTCAGAACTGGTAGCGAACATAAGAAAGAGATTAATCAAAGAAATCCCCAACAAGAGAAGAGGCATTCGCCTAAAAAAGGATGCCATACAACTGTACTTTGAGGACACAGTGAAGGACTCTTAACAGAGAAGGTTAGCTAAGCTAACAAAAGGAGAACTCGACTAGCACGAATACCAAAGGTAAAGAACTGATTAAGCAGTACCTTTAGAGAGCATCGATCGAAGATGAACTCTACAAGAGAAAGAGACCATCCAACGGGGACTCTAACACATATTTCCAAAACATGTTGGCCTCTATATAGGTTGCAAATGCGCATGAACCACAATATCCCTCATGCCAGAAGTGGGGTGTTATTCTTCAAGAGTGGCAGCTTATTTGAATTACCACACACCAAGCATGGATACTCGAATACTCGAGAAATAAGAAAGTTTATACATCGACTCTTAGTTGCACTAAAAAAGGATAGGTAAACACGGGTAAAAATAACCAAGGGCTTGCAAGGGCAAGGGAAAACCACGACTCACTAGGGAATGGAAAGCACTAAAGACCCGATTAGTGGCAAATCAAAATAGACTCCAATGGGGAAACCAAATAGAATCACCCTAAGCTTGTTGTGGAGATAATTCAAATCTGAGCGCATAACAAATTTGGTTGTCACGGGTGAAGATATTTGGCTTAAACCTTAATGCATGTTTGAATTTTTCATAGTGTAATGCTCCATACAATGGAAATGCTACGCATTTTGGTAGATGCAATGTAATGATGCATGTTTAGCAATGAAGTGGGGAAAACACATAAATAATCGGCTGTTGGGAAAACCAGGAAATTCTGAACGATTATCTTTGCATATATGAACTTATGTAGAGAATAATCCCTCTAAACTTCAATGGAGAAATGAGATTCGGGACCACCGACCTTTGAAGATTGATATCACTGGGGAAGTAACTTCCAGGGGAAGATACTACAAAAATAAAATTGCAGTTTAGAGAAACTCTTTAACTCTTATCCAACACTTAACTTCCTAGGGAAGAGATCCAACATCCATTTCCAGGTCTAAAGAGAACCTCATTGGGAATCAGGACCTTCGGAATTAAGTCCTTAATAAAAGTGACTTTGACCGGGGAATTGTAAAAATTCTTAAGTAAAAGAATTCTACCCAGACTACACTAGGGATACTACCGTTGGGGGTAACCGTCTTCACTAAGAGAAGAGGACGACATCATTGAAACATAAGCTTGAGGTTTTAGAACTCCACTGAGGAAATATTTTAGCAATACCCTATCATTGGGGATAAAAGAGCCCTAAACAACATTGTTTATGTATACCGCTCCAGAAAAACAGGAGACTTGCTCCACCAGGGCTTAATGAGCATTATGATCAAACATATCTTCAAGAAAGCCTGACAGGGGTGAACTTCCCTGGGGAGAAAAGATATGAACTTCACGGGGACAATGAACAACAACCTCACTATAGAGATAAATACCAACCACAAAGACATATGGTATCAACTTCAAGGGGATATAACAAATGTATACAGTCCAATGAAATGATCCTTCCCATATTCTTTGGAAAGAGTAGAGTGAACTGAAGAAGGAGATCATACAAAGTCGTGCTGAAATGCACTTTTTTGTTGATAAGCCCTCTAGAAGGGACAAACTCTTAAACAAACTTTTATCGAGATTACTGACTTCAGTGAGGATTACACAAGAGCATGCTTTTAATGGAGATAAGGGATTCCGTCTGGGAGAGAATACGCCTTCACTGGGGATGAATGATTTCATCTTGAGAAGAAGTGAGTATTCACTGGGGAAATTGGATCCCATTCTACAGAAATCCTCATGTTAGTCACATACAAACCCTTCTTGATTCATTTGTTGGTATTCTTCTTGTCATAAAAGAGAAACAGTACTCGCAAAA